AATTTTTATTTCACTGCAGAAACCCGCTGCACCTGGCAACCCAACTAGTCTCTTTTTAATGCACACATGCACAATGCATTCTCCTGCATGTTATGAAATCTGACCGCTCTCTAATAATGATGAATTAACAGGCAGAGCACTGGATGCACAGTTTTAGTCTCAACAGCAAGTGTCCAGTGCTGCAGTCCATGTGTCAGAAGATGGCAACACATCATCCTAGTCCACATTAAACACAACCAGGCCATCAGCTGTCTGCTTTCTCTCTGTTTGGGCCCATGAACTCCACACCTTCGATAGGGATGTCCTTCTCCTTGATGGCTTTCTGTAAATAAACACGAAAGCATCAGTGTCTGACAGCAGCCTGCATACAGAATCAAAACTGCTGCTGCTGTCTAGATAGGCAGCTCACTAGATTTTGAGACGCAGCCGCACGTGTTTTCTCAGTCCGCGCACCTGGTTTACATATTTAAACGTTCACATACATGTATACAGATCCGTGCAGTGCGGTACCTGAACACACGTGTGGTATTTGTGGAATAACTCGCTGCACGGATCCGCGCTCCGGTCTCCCTTCAGGAATTTCTCGGCGAACCAGCGGTTAAAACACTGGTCGTACTCGCGCTTGAGCTCCGTGCAGCCCTCGCCGACGCTGTTCATCTTCACAGCCGCCCCAAACACCACGGGTTAGCGGTTTAATGTCGTGTTCTGTCCGAGGAGAGCTCGCTGTCGAGTCCGTGATCTCGCTTGACTTTGCCGACACCACGTGGTCTCGGTGGCGCACGATGATTACGTCAGCAAAGCGCGATTAAAAGTCCCAAGGACAAAACAGCTAAAATAATGAAATAAATAAAAATGTTGGTAAGAAGATATAAAACAAACGGCAAAAGAGAGAAATGTTATGTTCTGCATTAAAAAAATAAATAAATAGAACTAAAGGTCGATATTTACTGAAGAAACGGAACCATTTCCTTCTTCACAACAACAATACATAAATAAATAAACAGATAAATAACTGGTTAATAAAAATATGAAAGTGATGAAAATATTTATCGCAGAAGTAGAACCATTTCCTTCTTTACAAATACACTCTCACACACACACACTCACATACACACACACATGCGCACACACACACACACACACACACACAC